GTGGGAAATTCCGTAAATGTTGTGTCTGGTTTAGGATCCTCGACGACATTGAGGTGTATGAAGAACAAATTTCGTTCAAACTCGAAGAACTGGTCACCATCTCCTCGTTTCTCAACTCCTTCGTGTTTAAGATGATCTGGGATGGAATCGTAGGTAAGGGCAAAGGCGTGAGCCCTCATTGCATTGGTGAGACCCTGGAGACTGTGAGCGCCCCTGGAAGCCCCACCGGCTCTACGTTGACTGCCTGCCGGCGCCGATTGATAGCCCATGCTCCTGTTTATTCCCGCGCGCGTTCTCTGGTCCCAGAAGTTGGGAGTGTGGCTGATAGAAGTCTTTATTTTCCCAGGTGTGTTTCTTCTGGCTCTGCCGCATGTATGTGGCGAGGGTTCCTCAGGATGATTCCTCTGGCCCTGTGTCTGCCCTTTGGGTCCGTTGGGTCGATTTCCAATGCAGAGCAGCTCGCACGTTACGTGTTTCCGGTTGCCCATTGAGATCTTCCTTTAGTCACTAAGATGGGAGGCAGCGGGAAAGGTTAGGGCTAGGTGGTCCCTTAAGTCAGGCAGGCATGTAGGACATTCCCAGAGTGTCTTCTTGTGCCTGTCTTCCCATAATACCCAGAGGGAGGGAGCTCGAGGCCTTGGGGTGGACTAGAAGGGGGTGAGGGGACTACCCCTCCCTCCTCTCTGGTTCCCCATCTCCCAAACCCTGATCTTGACTCAGCCGCCTCTGTGTCCTGCAGAAAACGCCAAGGGCGAGACTCTGGAGCTGTTTCAGGCCGTTCATGGCTGGCTCATGGTACTGTACGAGCGGGACTGCCGCCGGCGCTTCACCCCCGAAGACCACTGGCTGCGGAAGTGAGCAGTGGGGTCGGGGGAGGGAGCCACGGGCACCCCTGCAGAAAGAAATGGACCGGGGGTGACATCAGCCCTCCGGCTTCACAAGCATCGTCCAAGCCTGGTTTCTGGGAGGCCGGGCTGGGCGAGCCCCAGCCCACCCCACCCTCCTAATTCTGACACACTACCCCTCACATAGCTCTCTCTCCTTGTCAGCTGGGTTCCAGCCCGAAGGGGCTCAGCTCTAGTTCCACAGGTAGCAAACCCAGCTCCCCCAGTGAAGTACCTGGAGGTACCCACTCCACAAGCCAGCCTCCTGCCTGCAGGCACTCGGCTTCCCTTGCTCTCTGGGCTGGAGACATGCCCTGAGTCTTGGTTCTGCGGCTTCCATGCCTCTGGTGTCAGAGCTGTCTCCCGGATCAAGGATCTCGGGATCCACAGGATGTGCTCCACTCCTGGCTCTTCTCCCTTGTTGGTAGTGAGATTCACCAAGTCCGGCTTCTTACACCCAGGAGGGTGGCAGTCACCAAGGACCCTACTGACACTCCTTCCCTCATCCCTTTCCCCAGCATCTCAGATAGGGCCCCATCAGCAAAGGACCATTTGGTGGGAGTAACAGAGATTATGACCACGTAATGGGCCACACTGCTGTACAACCATCCACGGCCAGCAGCGGAGCTGCCCGGGGCTCAGCGCCCATGTCCTAGGGCAGCGAGGACCACCCCTCTTTCGTCCTGTCCTTCCATCCACACAAAGCAGGCCCCTGTTTCTCTGAGGCACCGCCAGCACGGGTCCCTCAGCAGCCGCTTCTGCTGGGAGATGCTTACGTTGACCATGATTAGTTTTGACAAGACCAGGTCACGTTTAATAAGTGTCTCCTGTCCAAACAGGCATGGGACATTCCTTCAGCTGTGCTGAGCAGCAGGCTCTGCGGGGCCAGTGTTAGGCTACTGGCAGAATTCCCCAGGGAAAGCCTGTAGCTAGATGTTTAGGGGACTCGTCCTGCAGCAAAGGCTGCCCTCCTGCGGAATGGTAGGACTTGCACCATGGGACATCCGCTCAGATGTAACGCCAGAAACTGTGGCTCTAGACCAGGGTCACGTTGCAACCCTCCAAGTCAGCTGTGTTACAGCCGTGGAAGGGCAGCCATCTGCTCTATAGGTCCCACAGAGAGAGGCTGCCCTCCAGGCAGGTTCCACTCAAAGCACAGGCAGCAGGCAGGATTTGGCTCTGCACTTGAGGACAGTCTTCCAGCCTGACCTGCCCCCCAGGCGCCGTGTCTTTTCTTCTTCAGGGACCTCAAGCCCAGCGTGCTCTTCCAAGAGCTGGACAAGGACCGGAAGCGGGCACAGCTGATCCTGCAGTACCTCCCTCACGTCATTCCCCACAAAAACGTGAGTTGCGCCGACCACGGCAGGCGGCTGACCCGGCTGCTCACCGAGTCTGGATCCTTCCCGTGCATTCACCCGCTCACAAGCACCCAGCGTGGGCCAGTGAAGGATCCGGAGTCTCTCTCCTAGACGAGGGATTAAGAGTCCACACCAGGCTTTAGGAGAGGCCAACCTCCAGAGATTCCCTGGTGCCCAGGCGTGAGTGGCTTCGTTGGTCTGAGCCTGGTTCACTCGCGGTGGTTTCCAGGCTCCAACTCTGCTCCCTGGGTCTCTCTTGACTGTAACCCTCAGGGGAGCAGGGCAGCTGCAGGTCTTCCCTG